TGCTGACTTCATTGATGATGTCTTAATCCACTCGAAGGGGATGTGGGAGGAGCACGTTCATGATGTTTGTAAAGTGTTGGATCAACTACGCGACGTTAATTTAAAGTTGAAGCGATCAAAGTGCGTGTTTGGGTCTAAGGACACAACTTATCTTAGGTACCGTATTTCTCGTGAGGGTTTGTAAGTTGATCATGAAAAACTTGTGGCTGTTCTAAAGTTTCCTACTCTGAAGTGTGTGAATGATGTGCAGCACTTCTTGGGCAAGGTGCAATATCTCGATCATTTTGTGGATCATCTTTCTGATCGCACTGCACCATTGCGAGCATTGCTGAAGTCATAACATCATCTTTCATCTAGTCTCCGGATTGTGAGCGGGCGTTCGTGGATCTCAAAGAGCTATTAAGGACTCCTCCGGTTTTGGCATATCTTGACTACACTCGACCTTTTATTTTGCGCATGGATGCTTCTGACATTGGTCTTGGAGGTGCGTTGATGCAAGAAAGCTCGAGTGTGCCTGGTCAGTGCCATCCCATTGTGTATATAAGTCGTACATTACAACCAACGGAGATGAACTACTCCACGATAGAGAAGGAATGTTTAGTAGCAGTCTGGGGTTTCGAGAAACTTCATGCATATCTATATGGTTCTCAGACGTTACTTGAAGGTGATCATGCTGCTATTACTTCATTATTGAAGCGAAAAAACCTGGTTGGTCGTACTGCTTGATGGGCTTTGAAGTTTAAGATATATGATTTTGATGTTGTTCATTGCCCAGGGAGTTTTATGGCTGATGCTGATGCCCTTTCTCGAGCTCCTCTTCCTTCTCCACTCTCTTCTCATGTTTCTGACGAGCCTGTTGTTCTAGCCTCTATGGATTTTCTAAACAAGGATTCTGTGCCATCAGCAGTTGCTATACTTGACGTTCAATGTCCACAAGGTGTAGAGCAAGATCTACCTTCTCTTGATGAGGTTCGCGAAGCTTAAAAGATTGAGCCGTGGATTTGAAGGCTTCGAGATGGGTTTGAGAATCCTACATCACTTGCTAATAATTTGCCTTTCCGGTATTTACATTCTCAATATCGCCTTGAAAACGGCCTTCTTTATTTTGTGGGGATGAATCCTGATGATCATTTATGGCTGGTGGTGCTTTCTATCTTTATTCCGCGGTTTCTCCATGCCTACCATGATTCTCCTATTCTAGGTGGGCATATGGGACATCATTGTGTAATCGAGAAGCTGCACAGGTATTTCTATTGGCCGGAGATGCGACGTGATATTATTCGGTATGTGCGTAGCTGTGTTTAGTGCCAAGCTCATAATACTCCCCCTCGGGTTATGGAAGGACAGTTGGAGTTAATTGCAGTTTCCCATCTATTTGAGTTGGTGGTGTTTGATCTTATAGGACCTTTTCCACGGTCGACTGCTGGCAATGAGTATGTTATTATTTCTTCTGACTAGTTGACTCGTTGGGTGCAAATTGGTGCTCTTGTTAGTGCCTCTACAACACTATTGGATACTTCCTCCTCAATCGAGTGGTGTTCCAGCATTCTTGTCTAGAGCGGATTCTTTTGGATAATGGTCCCGCATTTATGGTTGAGGCATTTCATGTTTTGATGTCTCGGTTGGGGATATGCCACACCTTCATGAGTGCTTATCATCCACAATCAGACAGTCTGGTAGAATGGCTCGTTCGGACATTCAAAGGGATGATTGCGAAGTATGTGAACTTTCAGTATTCAGATTGGGATGGTTATTTGTCGTCTCTTCGGTATGTGTATGTCACAGGGGTGCAGAGTTCTATTGGTGCTTCACCATATAAACTCCTATATGGTCATGATCCAATATTACCAACAAAACTGTGTTTACCTTTGCGATTGCCACGAGTTGCCGATGCTAGGTCGTGGGATCAATATTTGACGAGCATTTTTCCACTTGTCCGAGCAGAGTTTGCCGAACACTTAGGCCTCATACAAGTGGGACAACAACGGTGCTACAACTCCCATCATTGTCCACCTGCAGAGTGCAAAGTGGATAATTTGGTGTTAGTCTATTTTCCCCATCTTACAGTACGTGGTTTATCTAAGGGGCTCCTTGCGCAGTGGAAAGGACCGTATCGTGTGTTATGGCAAGTTGGACCACAAGTTTATGAAGTTCGGCATGACATCCAGCAGGTTGATCCTCCAAAGATTGTGCATGTGCAGCGGTTGAAACGCTTCTTACAAAGGGATCAGGAGCAGTTAATACCACCTACAGATCCGCCGATGCCTCCTCCTGACATTCCTCCAGATCCCGGCCCATATACAAGAAAACCCTTATGGTCTTCCATTATTCCGAGAGGAGGGGTTGATGTAAGGGCCAAGTGTATGGCTACGATGCCATATACTAATATTAGCATAGTGTGATTTTGGTAGCCGTCGGATTGGTTTCAATCTGGACCACTCGCTCCTGTATATAAGTTAGGGTTTTTGGGCTAATTGATATGCACATTTTCTGTATTCTCTTTCCATATTCCAAACACTCACATTTTGAAATTTATTCTATTGATATGTAATAAGATTAATTTTGTATTTAAAAATTATAATATATTTATATGGATATGGGAATAGGTATATTAATTAGGCTTTATACATAAGAATGAATGGACTAGATTCTGTCCCAAATGAATGGTTTACTATAATACTGTAATTAGCATATTATTTTTGTTGTGTTACAAAAACTTGAAGTTCCCACAAAATTACTAATGTAGTTATTGACAACCATAACTAAAAGAAGTCTAAAGTTATGATATAAACATTAGTCAATTATAAAATCTTGATGAACCATTTACAACTCTGTATGCAATTACAAAATATTCAAACCAACTTTTAAGTGATAACTTTAAACCAAAGCAAAAGACTTCCACTACAGTCTATTAAAGTCATTGCAATAAATAATACATCCCATTTTTAAGTTTGTTTATTTATAATCCTTTAAGACCACTATTAATTAAGACTCGTGACTATAAATAAAACTTGCCTCCATGCTTTCCTTTCAATCAACATCTGGGATTTGTGTTAAGTTTGGCTTATGATTTTTTATTCTTGTCCTCAAACATTAACAATCAAACTCACTTCATTCATCTTTCACATCTTTCTAAAATTTTGTAAACCATGTTTTTACACAAGAACTCACTCCTATAGTCAAATGTTAAATTAAAAATATATTTTTCTAATATACTAATTATATACTTATTCACATATGCACCTTCTACAGGCCCTATTGGTAAGAGGAAATAAATATAGGAGATTTGACTAAATGTTTTTATTCCATATTCATTCTTAAGAACATATGACTTGCCATACTTGAAAAGCAGAGCCACCTAATTATGTCATAAAGATGCCTAGATTAATCTAAAATGACTAAAAAATGTTAGAATATTTTAAAATATTTTAAATATATTACCATAATAAGTTTAGTTAAGCAAACAAAAAACTAATAACATAAAGTTTGTAAATTTGATTCTCCAATTTTGAGGTTGGATGCAGACTCTTCTTCCGAATGACCACAATACTCCCATTTCTTCTCCACCAGATTAGAACACAAAATTACCCATACAGCTGGAGACAACGATCACATCATCCACAAGATGAGCCATCCATTCTTCACCTCCCATGTTGATATCACGAGGTGGCCACTCGTATTTCCCGGATGCGACCATGGCTGAGTGTGAGCCATCCTCATCCGTCTCTAGCCAGCACGCTTGTACCAGTAAAATCCTCACACAATACTTCCCAGTAGGCGAATGGATCCTGGCTCACCACTTGCCGACTCCATTGCATGGTGTTCAGATCATAGAAGCGATCCTCTCCCTCACTGTAGCCAGGATTGGACAAGTCGTGGATTCCCCCAGCTTCCGGAGCCAGAATTGTACCGGAGAAGGTAGACAACAAACTCCCGAAACACTCCCTACCATCACTGTCTTGGTGTTGAGCACGGCAATCCGATAAATCCCTGTCTCAGGATCCACATATCGTCTCAATGCTATCAACTTCCTCAACAGAGCATCTTCCAAACTGTTTGTGAGCGGATTGCCCACAGCCAGAGACCGTGAGCGAGCACTTCTCCATTCCGGCCACCCATCCATTTGCCGTGAAATGGCTCGCAAACATTGTAGACAGGCGGGCGAGAGGCAGAGAAGTGGGCTCGAACGGTCCCAGAGAACATACAAAAGAATGCAGTACCAGGAGCGGCGCCACCACTCGCATCCACATCGAGTCGCAGGAAGATGCTCATGAACAATTCCTGGTACGCCTGCTTCATCAAGTTATCTATCTAATATAGCTGACAACAGAATACGGCCCTGTTGGTTCGATCACTCGACTTTTGGGGCACAAATCACGTTGACGCTGCCACGTCATTCTACGGACGATAGTGACTCGGGCAGTGATGTGGATTAGAAGGCGATCGCGAAGAAGATGTCGTCCTCGCCAGATAGCACTGCCTTGAACACCAACAGGTGACACATGTAGCTTCATGGACACCTGCTGTGTTTATACATGGGCTGATGGCAGCGCATGCACTTCCTTATCACTTTCATCGACCTCATCATTCTGAGCTTTGATTGGATCTTAGATGTTTGTTGTGATAAGCTGGAACTTTTACTCTGTGAGTTGTGTTTATACGGTTGCTGTTCTTGCTGTCCAGATCTGCGAGCTTGCGCATCCTATATGGAGCTGCATCCCTCGTTTGTTCATCTTATTGTAGGCTCGACCTGGTTGGGAGTCTCACTGACAGAGCAAAGAAACTGTAAACTAAGAGCGCAAGATTCCCAGCGCTTACTTGATTGCTCTTTCCACTTTGGTTCTCAACAAATTGTTGCTGTTTTTATTTCCTGATACACGCATGGGAGTCTAGAACCTCGGATAGCAAAGAAACGACCGAAGAATAGTTTGTCTTCCAAGCTCAGACATACCGTCCTATATATATATTTCTAGTTTTTCTTGAGAAGATTTAAAGTGCGCTTAGCAACCAGTGACATAATCCGCCTTGAACTGGCAGCCGTCATTGTAAGTCTTGATACCACACTTGGCACAGTTGCGAGCACGGAGTTCGTCAAAGGCAGTGATCATCTCGGAGCCATTGAGGTCGCAGTTGGAGCCAGAGACAAAGAGGCCACAGTGGCCGGAGTAGACGCTGCTGGAGCCTTTGTTGCTGCCGATGAAGTAGCGGTTGCTAGGCTGAATCTGGCGGCAAGCAGCATCACAGTCGCTCTGTGCGAGGTCCCTGCACAGTGTAGAGCCAGCGCACGAGTAGGAGTCCTGAGCATGACAGCCCCGCAACAACATGATGATCATGACATTCACAAGTAAGACATTGAGAGCTAGCGCCATGTTCATCGACTTCATGGTTACTAAGTTACTATGTATCTCCAATTTGCACGAGTAGCTAACATAAAGCTCAGCCCCTGGTTTGGATATAAGAGATCTAAGGGAGGAGATGCAAGGCAAAAAGAGCAAATGTGAGTCATTAATGCAAGTAACAAACTAATATTGATATTAGTTATTTTCCTACAGAACAATTTTGAAAATTTCACATTTAATAGCACATAAACCCAATCCCCACATTAAAATCTAACAAGTAAAAGTATAACACATCGGATTCTCTCTCGCTCTCTCTCTCTCTCTCTCTCTCTCTCTCTCAAAATTCACATAAGCGGCAAAGAAATAGTTATTAGAGAAAGTCCACAAGCACATGAGAGGAAGGATCAAATGTGGCAAGAAAGACAAACCGGGAGACCATTTAAATACGAAAGATTCGGTTTGGGCGAGTCGCATAGCAATGGCCAGCATTGTGGCTGGAACTTTTCATCAGGCTACTCCAAATCTCTCCCCTGTAGCAACAAAGGCATGTCAAGGTATGAATTGCATACTCAATCATGGAATTGTAGCTCAACATAGCTGCAGCATCATCGTCATATGGACCTGTGCCAGTTACTGGAAATGGAGCACTTGCTACACGAAAGGTGTGATGTATGACTCTTAGCAGTTCGTAAATCTTCGCTTTTGATCAAGGTTCCCCCTTTTCTCAAAAGCTTGTTCCACACTAGTAGAAACAAGTTTCTTGATGTGCTTGTGGATGCTCTATACAAACCAGATAAGGAACGGAATATTTATTACCAGGTAAGATACTGAAAACTTTCGCAGATATTTTCTGAATAAATTCCTTCTAGGAAAACTTTTCACCCGTGGAAGAGGTGGGATCTTGGACACCAGTTCAAGTTATTGATGGAGAAATACCTCAGGATTTCCCAGCAGGAACTTACATAAGAAACGGTGCGTTTAAAGAAATGGTGTTTTGGCAGTGGTTTTGCTCATGATTGTGTGTTCTGAATTCATTGGTTCTATTAATTTTCTTTTTTCTACCTTTAAATCAGGTCCAAACCCTTACCTCCTTGATGAAAGTATTCTCATAAGTCCTTTTGGGAAACTGTATTGTCACTGGTTTGAAGGTGATGGAATGCTTCATGCGACCAGGTTTGATCAAGGTGGCAAGTTCATCACATATAAGAACAAATATGTTGATACTATGGCACACAAAATCGAAAAGAACACGAAGAAAACCTCATTCCTAAGAGCTGTGGAGGGAGATTCTTTGGCTATCTCAGCAAGTTATCTTCTAAACTTCGTAAGGCAATTGCATTTATTTTGTTTTATTTTCCTTAGCTACAATGTGCAGCTACGTTTTGGGAAAGTTAATGGGCCAACATGCAATACGCACGTTTTCAAGCTTGCTGGGAAGTTGTATGCAGTCGCAGAAGCAGATATTCCTCATGAAATAGATTTATCAAGCCTCAACACTCTTGGCACTCTTGATTTTAGTGGTAAATGGAAAGGACCGTTCACATCTCACTCCAAGGTATGGTTGATCACAAAGTGACCCTATTATTGAATTGTGTTCTTCTACTTTAAGTTTGATCTGGAAAAGCAAGAGCTCGTTATCTTTGGTTTCAATGCAAAGTCGCCATACTTGCAAATTGGAATCGTTTCCAGTAAGTGACTGTATCAAAACACAAACTTCTGCTCACTCTTTTCATCCAGAGGATGGAGACTTGATACAAAAGACAGATCTGGAGCTTGATCGTGCATGCTTTATTCACGAGATTTCAATAACGAAAAAGTAAGTAGCATTTCATTCATGAATCGAGTTCTGGATTCTCGTGTGAGTTCTTTTCCAGTTACACCTTGATTCCTGATTTTCCACTCACGATCAACATGAACCGATTGCTGAAAGGATCAGGAAGGTAGTTGTCATGTTGTGTTTTAAGGCTTTTAATCTGAGCCCATGTCTCAGGCTGGTCGAGTTTGAGAACAACTCTTCTTCCAGAATAGGAGTTATGCCTCGTTATGGCGATTCTAAGTCAGTAAGGTGGTTCGAAGTAGAGCCTGGATACAGCTTCCACGCTGTAAATGCCTTTGAAGACAGTGATGAAGTAAGTAAACTTCAGCTAAAAAGAAATTTCAAAAAATTGTTTTGCTAACTAAATATTATCATGTGATAAACAGATTGTGTTGCATGCTTTGTTTTCGAAGATTCCATTCTTTCCCACGCCAAATGGTGTGGACAGACGCGAGTGGTTTGCTCGGGGCATAACACCGACTGATCCAAGAAATGCCAGAGACCCTCAAGTTGATGGTGCCCTCTTGGCCAATTTGCGGGAATGGAGATTCAATCTTGACAAAGGTTTCGTTTGTTTCTATAGAGTGAACTGAGTTTTGGTTTATGAGTTTGCTGAGCAGGGACGGTGGTGGAAAGGAACTTGACATCGTTGGAAACTTGTGGAATCGAAATGCCAAAAATCAACAAGAAATTTACAGGAAGGAAGAACCAATTTGCCTATGCCCAGGTGGTGGATGTGGAGGCTAGCAAAGTTGTAGGTAAGTTTCAATGCGTTTTTTTGCTCATGTACTTAAGATTTGCTGTTTACAGGCATGCCAAAGTATGGCAAGTTCATGAAAGTAAAACTTCCGGAATCTTGTGAAGTACGCCATTGCGAGTTATCAATCAGCTAATTGTTATATCTCTGTAGGATGAAATTGATGTGAAGTACCACGATCTGGGAGCCAACCGATACGGATCGGAGCCTTTGTTTGTGGCGAGACCCCACTCAACAGATGAAGACGACGGGTGGATTGTGAGCTATGTGCATGACGAGGAGACAAACAAATCCGAAGTGAGTGCATACTGTAAGAGAGTTGGCAAGTGTAAAATTTGTACTTGCAGGTGTACATATTTGATGCACAAAAGTTTCAGGATCAAGCTGTAGCAAGAATTGGTCTCCCCCAGCGAGTACCTTATGGATTCCACAGTGACTTCTTCTTTTGAAACTAGAAAAATGGAAAGTAGACGATAAATCACGTGCCAACTTGAGGCTAGTCAACGATTGCAAACGTGGTCGTCAACTAGGAAGTATTATTGGGGAGCCAGCGTACATGGCAATCGTTGCCACTCGCGCAAGCACCATGAAATATCGACTGCTGATACCTCGGGCGTGTTCTATAGTGATCTCACCCCCGACCACCTGGGCCCGCTCTCGAAACTGGGCCTTTCCACTCCTCCGGTGGCACTCCATCAGCAGCTTCTTAGCGGTGCTCATCGCATACTCCCAGCAGTTCTTGTCGTGAAGGCTATACTGCGGGTCGTGATCCTCATGAGCTCGCGCAGTTCCAGCGGCGTATCCTCGCAATCGAAATTCAGCAGCTTGGCATTGGTAAAATCGCCCAGGCTGAGAACGGGGGTGATGTTGATCCCGCAGTCACCGCCAGGGCCACACTTCTCGAAAAGGAAGAATTGCTCCACGCCCCCGACGATCAGCACAATCACCAGGAAGTCGTGGTTGATGGTCGACTTTGGATTGATGCAGTTAGTGCTGGAATCCCTGGAGGCGGTGGAGAGGGCGGCTGTTGCTTTGCTGCCGCCCTGCAAAGCCCTTGGTGAAGCTCCTGGTGAAGCCGTTTGTGAGGCCGGATTGGCAGTAGACGATGGCGCGGAGGAGCGACGCGCTCGAGACCGGCGAGATCAACGTAGCCATCGGGATCATTGTGCTTGAAGTGGTTTCTGATCTTGCCTGGAATTTTGGCTGACGAGAGACCACTCCAGAGCTGTGGAGCAGCCTTTTGCTGCCATCGTTCAAGACCTGCGCAACATGAGTCGATCTAGAGCTCTTGGCCTGGGAGATTTTCCACATTGTTGGAGATGGAGCAAAAAAAAGCTCAGGAGCTCTTCATTCATTCTTTTGATCTTGTTCTTCATAATCCCCGGCACGGATTCCATGATCGTGCCAAGAAACTTCCAATTGATCAATAGACACAACAGTACAAGAATAATTTGGGTATAAATTATAAACTTGTTTATAAGTCAAAAATACAAGTTTATCTAAATATATATCAACCGTTAGATAAAATATATTAGAAGCATCTTAAACAAAACAGTTTTACATAAATGTACTTTTAAAAATTCATCTCACCGCCTTAATAAGTCAACAACTAAGACATGAGAAAGGAAAAGAGTGACAATCATTGAGTGACATCTGGGTCGACAGCCAGCTAGAACATGCCGAACCTGTGCTCTGCTCCAACCAAATATTATGATCAAAATGAGATTGGGCCATCGGCCTGATGGACGCAATGGCTCAGGTTTCACACTCGGTCAATTGGGCCATGTCGATCAAGCTGATATATGTTAACAACCAAAGAGCAAAGTTTAACAAAGAAAAATGGACTTTTAATAAAATACAGCTGAAGCCTTCTATATACATGGCGGGATCTTTCTTCTACGTGTCCATCTATGCGAACAAGTCGCCGTCTAAACAAGTTGTGACCTGTAAAGCAAGGTTAGACACGCTTCTCTGGGCAGGGCCATGCAATTATAAATGGGTTCCTCCTTGACCGCCTAAGTTTTGGAAGTCTTGCTGGGAGCAAAGCTATAGACCCGCTTCTGTGCCCGCCCACACCATATAAATAATGGGCTCGAGATCGTAACTGCAAGGCAAATCCTTATGAACCGGGAGCAAAACGTTATTGTACAACTTGATGGTGTGAAGAGAATATTGCCCACACAAACACTTGATATGCACTATGGTTGATGTTGGACACAACTTGTAACTTGGGTCACTAGTACACATGCATAAAAGAACAGTGGTGGTAGCTATATTACCAAAGCTGCCACATGTTTTCTGGATGAGCCAGATCATGCCATGTGGCACCCAATTTAATTTATTTTACTATTATAGTTATGTTAATAATAGATGTGGACCTCACACATGGATATATAATATTAATGGGGGATCATGTTGGTATTGCGACAATTAAGTCGTGACAGTCACTGTCTGGACAGGTGACCAGTGGAGCAAAGCTAGACACGTTTCTCTGGGTAGGATCACGATCAAATGGGGGGCTTAATATTGTGTCAATACAGCAGTTCTCCTTGACCACCTAAGTTTGGGTTGGTATTGCGACAATTAAGTCGTGACAGTCACTGTCTGGACAGGTGACCAGTGGAGCAAAGCTAGACACGTTTCTCTGGGTAGGATCACGATCAAAATGGGGGGCTTAATATTGTGTCAATACAGCAGTTCTCCTTGACCACCTAAGTTTGGGTTCTTCCTTCTTGACCGCTTAAGTTTGTGTTGGAAGTCAGGCTGGGAGCAAAGTTAGACACGCTTCTGTGCCTTCCCATATAAATAAGGGGTTCGATATCTAAGCAACCATGAAGTCGATGAACATGGCACTAGCTCTCACATATGTTTTGCTTGTTGTGAATCTCGTGTTGTTGCGGGGCTCTCATGCTCAGGACTCCTACTCGTGTGCTGGCTCTACACGGTGCAGTGGCCTCGCACAGAGCGACTGTGATGCTGCTCGCCGCCAGATTCAGCCTAGCAACCGCTACTTCACTGGCGGCAACAAAGGCTCCACAGGCGTCTGCTCCGGCCACTGTGGGCTCTTTGTCTCCGGCTCCAACTGCGACCTCACTGGCAACGAGATGATCACTGCCTTCAACGAACTCCGTGCTCGCAACTGCGCCAAGTGTGGTATCAAGACTTACAATGACGGCTGCAAGTTCAAGGCGGATTATGTCACTGGCTGCTAAAGCACACTTTCTTGTAGTTAATCTTCTCAATAAAGCTATGACGGTATGTCTGGGTTTGGAAGATGATGATTCTTCGGTCGTTTGTTTGCTATCCGAAGTTGTAGGCAAGAAAAGTGGAAACAAATCAACAATTAAAAAGCAAAACAATTTATGTGAAAGGTTGATTTGCCATTCCTTTCAGCATCATGAGCTTGGCTTTGGACTCAAGCTGCTCTTTTCTTTGTATTGGAGCGTCTTTCTTATGGAATTTCGTTTGCTTAGTTTTCTTCAACGATAGGAAAATGAGATGATTGCTAAGCTTGCAAGGTCTGAGAGGTCGTGTTTGGGGAGATTACACAACAGCCTGATGATCAGTATGAGCAAGATTTTGAAAAATTTAGGCAGAATAAAAGTATCTTCAACTCTCACGTGTCCCTTGGCATGATGTCTCATGATGCTCCAGTTGTTCCATCCTTTAGTCTTCTCTTGGCTATACTCAACATGAAGATGACTCTACTCTGTTGCATCTTCCTTTCTTGCTTGGCTTTTTGAGTTTTGCAGCAATTTCTTCATGTCAATTCATAGAAAGGATAGTAACTTAATTTCAATAAATAGCTTACAAGTAGTTTTTAAGCAAAACTAGGATGATAGTGAATATACCTAAAATATGCTTGAATATTTTAGGATATTCTACCATTTAACAGTTGTTATTCATTTAGATTAATTTTGTATTTATAATTATAAACATGTTTATAATTTATAAACTTTCATAAACCCTTTCTAATATATTCTTTTTTATTCTATTATATACAATAAGATTAATTTTGTGTTTATAAATTACAAACATGCATATAAATTATAAACTTTATTTGATTAATTGAATTAATAAATCGGAATAACACTACTATTAAGCAAACCAAGCGTTATTACATGCAATGCATAGCAAATTATTATTAAACATCATGGTTTATTAAAACAAAGAAATTTTCCCGCGCTTTAGGGTTTAACATTGCATTTTTAGGGCCTAGGGCTAAGATATCTTCGATCGGCTCGGGGAGGACTTGCTGATGGAAATCCTTACGCGGCTAGACACTGATTGTGTGCCGTGGATCCAAATCCACAGCTGTGGCGCCCTTTCTCCGGCGAGGCTCTCAAGCTCAAGCACATTTCTCTGCCCATTGGCCCGCCTGGAAAGAGCTCCGTCTTTGTAGGGCATTGCTCGTCCAATGGTCTAGTGTGTGGCACGCTTGCTGTAATACACCGTCCCACCAGTCCTTGCTCACGGTCTCTCAGTGTGGGCAATCCTCTTACGAACACTTGGAAGGTGCTCCGGTGTACCGAGTGGGTCGAGATGACCGAGACAATGGATTTGGATCCTGAGACGGGAATCTATCGAATTGCAGTGCTCAACAACAAGCGTATCGATTCAAAATACGTTGGCGAAAGTCTCCAGTACAACTCTGGCACTGGACGGGACGTCATAACAAGTGATCTGATACAGTGCAACCCTGGCTACAACCGAGGTAACGGTGACGATGGTTTCTACAACCTGGATACACTCAAATGGACTGAGTTCACAGAAGAGAATCCCAGCATTCGTGAGATCGACGACGAGACTTGCATGAATTGGCCTATCTGGGGATTTTTGTACCGCGGCCGGAGGATCCTGGTGGGAACGATCCATGACGACCTTCACATTGCACTCAGTGTGCTGGAGAAGGACGACGAGCAAAAACGTTGGCTCCCCTTGTTCAAGCGTCGTGTGCGGGATATAGTCGGGGAAGGATGGCCGGCGATTGAAGGCTTTGAGTGTGATCACTGGGTGGCACATCTCGCAGGCGACGTGACAGTGCTCTCCAACTGCACTTGGCCTACACTTGCGTTTCATCTGATCGACGAGCAAAGGGAATTGGGCTTTTCGGAACAGGAACTCGCACTCTATGCTAACCTCGACTGGTCCAAAGGCTGTCCGGCCACCATTCGCGCCAGCTACACGTTTGTTCCAAGCTTAGCAGCACGGCCATAAATCTCCCTGTTGGACTCAAGATCAGCAAGAGAAGAAACAAGAAAATGTACCTTTCGCTCAAGTTGGTATATCTGTAAATCAGGCTCCTGTTAGTTCATATCCAGATCTGGTGTCTTAGCTGTTCCAAGTAAGCATTTGATGGCTGGAACTGAGGGATGTTCGCGTCCTGCGTTGGACTGTAAGATAAAACCAACAAATAAAGAACTTACAACAGAGGCTGGCGGCAGCGTTGGAGCAACTTGTTGCT